CGTTCAATATTTACATGAATTGAATCCTCCGGTCATTCATAGAGACCTCAAACCTGACAATATATTACTGGCGAAGACTGTAAGGAACGGCAGGTTTTTCAAAGTATGTGACTTTGGTTTGGCTACTTTTCACCAGCACTCGTCAGATAAGGGAGACCTGAGATATTGTGCCCCAGAAGTGAGTCGAGGAGTGGTCTATAACCATAAGATAGATGTCTATAATTTGGCTAAAATTGCAGAAAATATTTTTGGGATTAATTTGGAAGACAACCCGTAAGATAATGTGAATTAATATTTAAATTAATTAATAATTTTTTTATTTATTTGAATATATTCTGTAGTTTAGAAAAGTATTCAGACAATGAAGTTATAAACAATTGTGTGATTAAATTAACACAAGTATTGCATACAATGTCATATTATAACTGGAATCACCCGCACATACCCGGCCCTCACTGGACAGACAGACCCGAGTGTTCACAAGTATTATCGGAATATAATGAGTGGTTTATTGATAAGAATTGTCTCAAAACTGATCCCACATTTAAATCCACACTAAAACTCATTCAACAAAATGATAATAAGTTTTTCGCACAATATTTGTATGAAAACGTTGGACCGAAAATCTTGTCTTCACATAATTTTCTCGGTCTATGCATAATATTATAGTTATTTGTATTTCAAGTTTATATAACTTAAGATTGTTTTGCAAATTGTAAAATATAGTAAGTACAAAAATATGAAGAAAATGAACATTTACTTAAATTCTTAAATGAGTTACATTATAATTATCAACTATTTGTTATAATTTTGAAATTAATTGATTTAATTATTAATAAATAGGAATTATAATTATTTTCACTTTGTCAGTGTGCTAGATGACTTCCTTTTACTATTCAAGTGAAATCTATATTTGTGTATAAATTTTTGAATGCAATACAAACTCATGAACGTAACAGTGATTGCATTTCCTTATTATTGAACATTAGTCTTAATCTGCGTTAATAGCACTAATCATAATCAGTGCTGAGCCAGAGACTGACTATTTTCCCTTCACATATAATGTTACATGTTTTTTGACACTTATGGGATATAGAGTGTATGTCGCAAAGGTCCAGTAGGTTATTATTGTGAATACATATTTAGTGAATTTTGATATTTTAATG